CCCCCCCCCCCCACGGTAAAGCATTCAACTAGACTTGTCATTTTTTGTTTCTCAATTTATAATTATGGGCTTTGGAATTTGGGGGTTCTGAAAAAATGTTTAAAGGATTCTAAATTAAAATCGTGATGACTGTTTACCCAACCTTCATGGATCGCAGATACATAAAATTACTAGCTGTAAATGGTATTATGTGGTGCTTCAGATTTGCATGGGTTGCTTTAATTTTTTTCTTAATTTTTCCTTTATTTTGTTTTAGGCTGCAACAATAATTTATTACTTATGATAAAAAGGCAGATTGTTGAGGACAACAAAAACTGAACCAAAACGAAAATTCAACTGAATTATAATTATGTAATTAGTCAAAAAAGAGAAATAAGGTGGTCCTGTGAAAGGTAACCTTCATTCTAGCCTAATGAAGCATTAATCGCAATATTATTATTATAGTACTGTTATTTCAGTTCAAAACCGGGAGGCCAGACCAAAATAAAATGCCATGGAGAGGGCATATCAGGCTACATGAATTAACTATTCGGCTAAGTTTTACAAACCTGTAGTATGAAATTTAACTTTGAACATTCTCTCACACTGCAGACCCATCCTCATCAAGACTGGCATCTTTGACCAGCTGCGCGTTGACTTGGGTAGGGAATGGGTCTTGATACTCTTTATCCAAGAATTATTATCAGGATACAGACAGAACCAGGACAGGCCATCACATGTAAAAACTACCTCCAAACAGAACTTGACCATAGGAAGAGTCTGGCCTGAAGTCAATGCAAGGGTGAATTACCCAATTAAAAGGATACTAGTTGATTTAGAGGAAAAAGGCATTCTTGATATGAACAATGAATGTATCCAGTTTTGTGTTCTCACTTCACTTGTCAAGTTGCTAAGGTTGGAATGCAGAGGTTTGTTGATGCTTGGAACTTCCACAGGATAAAAGGTTGGGAATATGTATATGTACTGACTTGTCTGAGTATAACCTGATTGTTCACATCCTGATTTATAACTACTTCTGATTATTTGACCCAAAACTGATTTCCCATCTCTATCAATCAATGTAATTTAACCTCCTGATATAGTGAACCGATAATATGTTACTCAAAAAGGGGCAGGAAGTAGGTTGCATATTGTGCATGTAACAAATTTATGTGCCAGTCCTTTAACCTAAGGCACCTAAACCTTTAAAAAGAACCTTAGGAAACAGTTGTTACTAATAGTTATTATAGTGCAAGGTTTTTGATAAGAGGCCAGGACTCTGAATGTAAAATAGTCATCAAGTGTTTCTTGTTTTCCAGGAAGGCCAGGAAATGCAATCCCAGCAGTAGTATAGGAGGGATGAAATTATTCCCTTTTTTGAGCAGGAATCTCATTAGCGTGAGCAGGAATACATTAACGCCGATGACGTCATAGGCTATTGTCTTGATCTCATGAATAAAATGCGCAGGAATCTCATAAAGATAAGGTCATGTGCTATTTTTATCTTGTGGCGGTCATGGTTGGTATAACCAGTTTGACAGGTTTTAGTTATTTTCGGAAGATGATGTCATATGTATTCCGGGGTACTACGATGTCATAGTTGTTAACTCAAGTCCACGAGTTATCGGAAATAGAACGAAAAATTTAGAAGTTATTGTTGATTTTCAAGGGCAGATCGGGCAGAAAGGGCACCTTTTTAGCCTGTGTTTTTTCCCTGGGTGCGCGTGGAGATCTCCCGTGTAAGTCGTGCGCGTCGAGTCAGGAAACAGGAATCTCATTAAGATAAGGTCATGTGCTATTTTTAGTTGGTTTAGGATTTCTAGTTACTTTAAGGTCGATAAACGTCTTCGTTTTCGATTGGTTAGTTAGAAAATGAGAAACGTTTTTATTGGTTAATTCATACTATCTGAGGAGCAAAGTCAAACTTGTCTGTGACTTAAAATCACGGAGGCGTAATGTAATTATGCAAGTCCTATTTCCTGCTGGTGTGATTGTCCTAGTTCCGGTTCACTGACTTTTGGCGGGCAAATCGTGCATATTAATGAGGGCAAAGACAAACTAGCTCTTGTCCTATTTGCTGCTGCTGTGATTGTCCTAGTTCCCGTTCACTGATTTTTGGCGGGCAAATCGTGCATATTAATGAGGGAAAAGGCAAAATAGCCCTTTTTTTACACTGCAAACAATGTTTTACTTACCCCTCTCCTTTTCACAATTTTGTTATTTTCCTTGCGCAATTTTTTTATTCCCATTTTTCCCTCCTCCTCCTCTTCATTTCTATTGTTTTCCCTCCACCACCACCGCCACATTTCTATTGTTTTCCCTCCTAAAGGCTAAAATCAGACCATCACATTTGAGTTTGGCCATATAGGCCTGATTTTAGCCTTTTGGCCTTTTCGAGGAAAAACGATAAAAATGAGGAGGTGGAGGAGGTGGAGGAGGAGGAGGAGGAGGAGGAGGAGGAGGGAAAACAATAAAAATGAGGAGGAGGAGGAGGAGGAGGAGGGAAAACAATAAAAATGAGGAGCACATGACCTTATCTTAGTGAGATTCCTGTTTCCTGACTCGACGTGCACGACTTACACGCGAGATCTCCACGCGCGCCAAGGGAAAAAACACAGGCTTTCTGCCCGATCTGCCCTTGAAAATCAACAATAACTTCTAAATTTTTCGTTCTATTTCCGATAACTCGTGGACTTGAGTTAACAACTATGACATCATAGTACCCCGGAATACATATGACATCATCTTCCGAAAATAACTAAAACCTGTCAAACTGGTTATACCAACCATGACCGCCACAAGATAAAAATAGCACATGACCTTATCTTTATGAGATTCCTGCGCATTTTATTCATGAGATCAAGACAATAGCCTATGACGTCATCGGCGTTAATGTATTCCTGCTCACGCTAATGAGATTCCTGCTCAAAAAAGGGGATAATTTCATCCCTCCTATACTACTCCCAGCCATAAAGAAAAAGGAGATTAACTTCTTAGAACCCTAATGAAGAGCATGCCATACAGATGTTTAAAGCACAAGGGGGACAACTACAGCGGGAGTGGCAAGTTGGTTGTGACCCATTATCTGGAGACGATATTCGTCAGCAGCAGATGAAACATTTATTTTCTGAAAGGCATTGTTTTGAAGATATATTTACTGCTGTTGTAAGTGGAGATCCCTCGCCCTTTAAGAGGGGCTTAGAGTATTTCATAGGGCTTACATATTCTTCGTAAAGATCAACTTTACTCCTTTACTGGAGGACATTGTTAAGCTTTTTAAATTTTCCTTTAAATCCCACCCTTCCTGAGTTTTAGTTAGAAGAATTTGGTGGAAGATTGAATTAATTTCATTTTTTTAATGTCCTTTGTTCTTTCTTGATTATGTTTTGATATTGCAAGGCAAAATTTGAAGCTGGTTACACTTTCAACTTGAAATGCATGGAGGTTCTTAAGAAGAATTTGATTTTGGTGAATATTGGCTTGAAAGGTTCAGACATTGCCAGATCTCATACCGTGGGAACTGGCTACTAATCTGTGTATTATTACCACAAGACCCACTTAGACAGAAAGAGCACACCGAGCTTTAAAATATGCTTATGCTTGATGTATATAGGGCCAATACTGAAGAAGATACAGCCATTGTTGATATTCCCATAACTATAATACACGGACTCATACCCAGTCCCTCACGGCATGAAATCGGGTAAGCATAACAAACAAAGTAAATACAAAGTAAATTTTTTGTATGAAGACCAATATAACAGCTGTAAAAATGGCCTTCTGCTTTCCCTTAAATTTGAATCAAAGTTTAAAGAACTTTAAAGGGTTAAATGCTCAACTTTCATTTTAACATCTCTAAGTGATTGAACATTCCTTTGTACTACTGATTCATACCACAATGTACAGTTTTGACTAAAAACTCTTTATCATAATGTGAACTTTGCAAAAATGAGTTTGGCCTCTTTCACAACATTGCACCTAGTTTTTTTTCTTTTTGTGCCATGCCATCCACCCTTTACATATCTAGGACCAGGTCTTTAACAAAACACTATACTGAGTCACTCATTATCTTCACTTATTGATGGAATGGCTGATATTTTCTCCACCAACTCTCTTGCACCAGACAGCAAACTTGGGTATTGTGGGCGCCGCCTCTGTTTGCAAAGAGCGCACATTATCTCCCCTCTCTCAAGTAGCTCACTGATACAGGGTATACAGAAGATATGGTTACAGCAAGAAACTGCATAAGGTATTTCATCTTTTGGAGCAGCAAGACAGATTGGGCATTTAAACATATCTTTAGCAAATACAGCTATATCCTTATAAACTGATTCAGGCCCTTTTAACATAAAGGCATGTGCCTTGCTGAGTTTCTCATCCATGTCTACCATCTTTTGCATTAGTGGATTCACCGCTTCCTTAATTCCAGCTGTGAAGTTGCACACTGTCTGTCTATTCTGCTGCTGCTGAGATGGATCATTGTCAAATGGAGGCGTCACAATGGCAAAGATCTTCAGTGTCCCTGACCAGTATTTGCCTGTTTAATTGAACTGAGATGATCATATCATATTAAAAGACCGTACTGTACCATACAAACGTATGTGATGTAACACAACATTAGATAGGTAATAATAATATATTCCTCATTTTTTGCATTATCATTGTCCTCGGAAATTCAGATCTACGTTGGTGTACTGGTATACACTTGCCAAATCCGAACAATTTTTGACATTGTTTTTGAATAAGCATAATATCATGAGTGAGGAATTATTTTGGTATTTAGTTTTTGGCGCGAAATTCAGGTTAACTTTTGTTATGTAATGTGAACTAACAAAGGTAAGCTTGGAGTATTTCGAGTTCTTGATACAATAAACAAGTTAAAAAATCCCACGATCGTGAGCATAAAGCAAAGTAATGGTATGCTGGAATTAGGGTATAGGAAAGGCAACTAAGTTCAGTAACCCCTAATTGAGGAGGTATTCTATAGTGTTATTTTATTTCTCTACTAACCAATTCTGCCTGGTGATTCATCCACTACCAGGTTATTGCTGTCGAACAATTGGATTTCTGAGGGGAAAACCTGTAGGTCAGAGGCTAGTTTCCTTCTAATGTCCTCGCAATCAGTGCCATCGCCGCAACAAATGAGTACGTTCCGAACTGCAATAATTTTCTTGTCTTTCCACTGCCCGACCGTTACCTTGAAAAACCATGCTGCAGCTGAGTCTGTACATGTTGCAGAAGCCGCTGTTGAAGGAATGGGTCGTTTCCCGCCATGTCTTCATGGTAAAACTAGGAAGTCAAAGAAGAACGACCGTGAAAATGGACGTGATCGATGGCTTTCAGATATACGGCTAGCAACAAAATCGTCGTCTGAGCTTTCTTCTGACAAGCTTAAATAGTTAAGATGTTTGACGCGCTTTCCTGTGTGACTTTCCTAGTCCCGCGAAGGCCCAACTTCCACGTGGTAGGTGGCGAAGGGGTCAAGCACGGGAAATAAGCCATTTTCATCTGGGAACACGTATGTGTCTGTCATGTCCTTAAGCCAAATAGACGCAGTTGCATGTAGGCCAAAGAGAGAGAGAATAGCTTTGGCTGTTACATTTCTTGTTGCCAACGTTCGGCAAGCATCACAAAACTACGTCAACCGATCACAGCGTCAGCTGTCATGATGTTGTCATGATGACAATTTCAGAGACGATTTCATCGGTTGAAATCGGTGCAATGTATGTCAAAGCCTTATCATTGGTAGATAAGTTTTCTCTCCTCGCCGCCGTCTCCTTCAACTCCTATTTCTCCTGCCGTTTTTCGTCTCGTCCCAACCCCTTCGAAGGTCTCCTAAAATACAACCTCGTTCCCAGGGTATTCTCGCTTTCCAATATGGCGGCGGCAGGAGAGAAGAGCCTGGCACACAGCGAACTAAAACGATCGCTGATTGGTGCATTCCCTAGTGCTTATCACCCTCCTTATTGTTATTTTTTTTTTTTTTTCGTTTTTCATTTTTATTGTCAGTTCGCGCTTTTGTTGTCTTTGCTAGTTTAGCTTATGATTGCAGTATGATTACCACATAACATACCCAAGTTTTCCAATTTCTTATTCCATATTGTAATTCAAACGTTTTAAACCATTTTTATAAGGCAATGTTATTCACTCTGTTGCTATATCTTATCCAGCATAATGTTTACGTCTTTCTTGAATTTAACGTCTTTGCTAAAGAGTTATTGCATGCAAGACCTTGAGGAAGAAAGGCCGTGCCTTTCGAATTTAAGAAATGATTGAGAAATACCCCTTATTTTGGGGGGATCACTTGATTTTTAGGAGAACAAAAGGGGGGATCGGAAGTAACTGAGAGCCAAAAAGGGCGACCACTGAAAATTTTGGAAGGATTCAGAGGGAAAACCACTCAAATCTGCTTGGAAAATGAAGACATGGGGGGATCACTTCAATGACATGACATTCAAAGGGGGGGGATCGGTTAAATTTCACAGTGTTTAGCCCCAAATCCTCCGACCCCACATCCCCCTCCCCCCTCAGGCGATAATTAATGACTGGTCCTAAAAACCTATTGTTTTGTGACGTTCTCATTACCGTTGCCGCCTTGTTTTCGTACAGTCCCTATGCTCAAGCACTTGCGCATTTTAGCGCATCCCAAGAAATGCCAAAACAGTCCAAAGGCTGGAATGAGGCACGTGACGTGACATCATATTCCGGATGCCAGATTCTGGATGGCGGATACCGGATGGCGGATGACGGGATGACGGGATGACGGGATGACGGGATGACGGGATGACGGGATGACGGGATGCTGGGATGCCAGGATGGCGGGATGCAGGGATGCCGGGATTCCGATTTCCGATTTCCTAAGTCCAGGTTTCTGATTTCTGTTTTCGGCAATCAGAAAATACCTGCACTCAATTTCTGGGTTCTGATCCACGAAATTCAGAAAATGGATTGGCCGCAAAGCTTTCTGATTATACTGCCTACCAACAAGCAAAATATGATTACTGCATAAATTGTCTTTATGTAACTTTTTCCCAAATAATATATCTTAAGCTGAGAAGTGATTAATAACGCCCTCCCAATTACTACACCATTTAATAACTTCTGTCCAAAAACTCTGAGTAATGTAGCAAGAGACAAAAAGGTGTTCAAGGGATTCATCCGCCCCATCGCATAGAGAACATCGTAATGATAAAGAAATACCAATTTTGTTTAAAAAATCATTGTTGGCCAGATATCTGTGTAACAATTTATATTGAAATTCACGTGACATAGTGTCAAGGGCAACCTGGTAGGGTAAGCTCTAAATTTCTTTCCAGTGTAAATCATCATTTCCAACAAATTCAACATATTTGTTTTGCACAGTTGGTATTCATTATTCACTTCCACTTTAGAAGCTATTTTAGAAAAATACAACAAAGATAATAATGAATCGCAAACAATAGAAGAAATCAATGATGATAAACTATGTCAACTTATTTTGACGACAGGTATTAAATTACGTGTCAACAGCACGAACACTGTACGTGGCACTTCCTTTACTTAACTTTATCATAGTCAATAAACTGACGTGACCTTTTTGTTGAAAACTGAGTGGCATACTACATTGGCTTCCATTTAGGGGCAAAATGACTGGTCTTTCATCTGACCCCCTAAGATGGTCATGTGATATTTGTCAGAGGATGGCTAACTTTGACAGCTGTCAATTCGTCTTCATACATATGGCTAATATAACGGACAACCTAGTGTCAATATTTGTGCAAGATCTAGTGAGACATTTGACATCATGTCACGTTTTGTGGGTGTACAGACGGTCGTGTCCAGTCGTACGCTGACCTCACAACTAAGTTTTCTTTGATCTATAGGTTTTCAATTTTCCTTAGCCATGGGGCTTCAAAGCACAAGCGGAAGCGCCTTTTTTTAATCTATTTAACTACATCATTGTGCGTGTTGTTTTCAAAAAACTATTCGAGTGGATGCATGTTTAAAAAAAATGCATTGCAAGGTACTAGTTTTTGTGTTTTGTTTCCACTTGTGGAGAGATTGATCTTCGTAACATATTTCTGTTTCCTTTATTTAGGTTTTGGAAAATCAATGTGGGATTCAAGATGTGTTTTCAAGCTCCTGATTATTTTGATGAAGAGGAAGACAAGATTGTCATGAGTAGTCTTGTGTGCTGGTTGCGAATGGTGATTACAATACAATACAATACGCTTTATTTAACGTGGTCAATGTTC